AGCAGGAGACCGGCGCCACCTTGTAGTGGCGGGAGCGGCTCCCGACATCTCCCCCTTTTTTATTAATTAAAGGCCATTTCAACCAGAAAAATTAACACACCATGAGGTCACCGATCAGCCTGCTGAGCCAACAGCATCAGCGATCAAGGAGTTTACACAGTGTAGGAGACCCTCTGCACCCTTAGCCCCGTGCAATGGGAACCCGAGCCCTGGGGAGTGCAGAGGTCTGTCCAGAACAGCATCCCGGTGCAATGGGAACCTGTGCCCTTCAGGGGTGCCATAAGTTCTAGACAGAGTCTCAACGGTTGAGCAAGTTAAGCCAAACTTGGGGGGATGCCCCCTGTTCCACAGCCAGCATAGCCTGCACCATGGCCACATTTTTAAGATGTTGTTGTCTCTTGAATCTGCAGAGCAACCAAAAACAGAGGAGCAGTCCTGCAAACAGGGTTACTCCAAACATTCCCACTCCAACCCACTCCTTAAAATAGGAGAGGGCGGAGGACACCCAATTAAACAATCCTTGAGTAATGGAAACGTCTAGGCGAGTGGAATTAATTTGAACAATTGCTAGGCGTAATTTTCTTATTGTCTCATCAAATTCGGCGGACCAATTAGATTGCAGCAAACGAGACAATTCTATGGATAAATTTGCAGCCCTAGTAAACCTGTTATATGGAACAGAAGTTACACAAATTCCTGGTAATGTAGTTTCGCATCCCAACTGAGCCAGCTGCCACAAAATCTCTAGCTGTTCTTGAACCAAATCAATACGTTGATTAACTATCATTAATCCTCCTTTTAACTGATTGTTCATGGAAGCCTGTATATCTATCGCTTCACTAACTGATGCTGACAAATTATTGAGGGTATGAGCCGTGGCAACCTGGCCATTTAATGCTAAGGCTGATATAGTCAGGGAGGCTCCGACCGCCGCAGTGGCTATAATAGCCACTATTGCTGCGGTGATACCAAAATCACGCTTTTGACGAAATAGGGCCAAAGAACTACTAGTCCTCACTGGAATAGGCAGAAAACGGGGCATGCGGGCTACAGTAGCCAAGTCATACTCACTAGCATTCCAACACAGAGCATAAAAACATCCAGCATAATTACAAACTGTCCAAACAAATGGAGGCCAAACACAAACTGGGGTGGGCTCCACCGACTTTAGTCCTCCTAATTCCGTCGCGGATATGGATCCAGGTCTGACATTTGCAAGCAGAGTGGTAGTAGCTGTCGCTCCACCCAAAATGGTGACCATGGGTGAGAGATCTGTGCAACTGCCACCAACACCACACAGCAGCCAAATATTAAAGGGATTGGTGGGGTAATTCCAGGGACTCATTTCGGTGTAATTTCCATACCCTTCCAAGGGTGAAAAGGTAAAGAGTCCATTTTCGAGCAGATGCGCTCTGCGACTCTGACAGCCCGTCCATGGGAAAATAATTGAAGAGTCCGCATGCCGGCCAGTGCAGAAGGGGGCGTACTGAGGTTGGTGCTTTCGTTCATTGCTCCCATAAGATGAACCGTGCTGTGGCCACCATCCAAAAAGGACCGTAGCATTAGCTGAAGATGTACGATTCCTGATGGTCTCTTTTCCTAACTTGGCATAAGAAAAATTTCCTAGCTTTATACATGAGTCAGCATGAGTCTGGTTGGTTGTAAAACAAAGACTGCCGTTATTTGGCTGGGTGTTGTTGTCTGGTATAGGGGCTATGTCCTGAGACATTGGCAAATATGGTAGCCCAATGGAGTCATTGGTGGTAAAGAAACGGGGGAAGACTTGTGCATCATACATGACTGGCATTGGTCGTGGGAATGTTGATAGGATCCCCCAGCGGATCTCCTGGGTCTCCACCTTCAGGTCCATCTGCACTCCGCTCAAGATCAGGATCAGGGTTAAGATCAGGCTCATCTTGCTTGACCACTCTGGTCAGCCGCGCTGGAACCCAAATCGGATTTTCTTGGTCCTGTGGGAAAACACAAACAGCTCCCCTGGATCTTATTAAAATAGGATCCGGTCCTTTCCATTGATTATCAAGCACATCTTTCCATTTTACCAGCTCATTTGAGGAGGCATGGTCAGCATGTCTGTCTGCAGCAGACCGCCCACACGAATCCAATTTCAAAAAATTTAAAGTAAATAAAGCAAGGGATATGGTTGCTTTCTGTCCCATTGTAATGGGGCAGAGTCCCCCCTTCTGTTTTTGCACATAAGTCTTTAAAACACCATTTGCCCGTTCTACCATGCCTTGCCCTTGTGGATTATAAGGCAATCCTGTTACATGATGAACTTCCATTTTTTGGCAGAACTGTTGAAAAACCTTAGATACATAAGCAGGGCCATTATCAGTTTTTAGCTGACGTGGCTTGCCCCAGGCTGCCCAGGCCTCCAGACAGTGGGTAATGACATGAGCCGTTTTTTCTCCTGACAGGGGAGTGGCATGAATCACTCCTGAGCATGTATCAACAGATACATGTACATATTTAAGTCTGCCAAAGGCAGGAACATGAGTAACATCCATCTGCCAAATATGTAATGGCTTAAGACCTCTGGGGTTGACTCCAATGTTGGGTGATGGCCGAAACTCCGCGCAACTGGCGCATTTTAAAACTATCTCCCGAGCTTCTGCGCGAGAGACGCCAAATCTCAGCCTGAGCGTATCAGCTGGAACATGATACAATTCATGAAAGGAGGTGGCATTTTTTACAGGATTTAATGCAAGACAAATTGCTCTGGTAGCCTTGTCTGCTAAATCATTAGCTCTTGTCATAGGTCCAGGCAACAAAGTATGAGCTCTCATATGCTGTATGAAGAAAGGATTTGCTCTATTCCTAATAATATGTTGTATCTCATCAAATAATATTGCCACAGTACTTTTAGAAGAAATCAATCCCACTGTCTCTAGAATTTTTACTGCTCCCACCACATAGTGTGAGTCAGAAACAATATTTAAGGGCTGAGAGAAGTTCCTTAGAACTTCAGCCACTACTGCACATTCAACCAATTGTGGGGAGGAAAATGAAAACTGCTTTTGAAATGATTGTCCACCCACAACATAACTCCCTATGCCAGTTTTTGAGCCATCAGTAAACACATCAATAGCCCCTACAATAGGTTGGCTTTGTGTAACTCTTGGAAAAATAAATGCATTAGTTAAAGAGAAGTGCAACAATGGATGTTTAGGATAATGATTATCTATATTACCAGTAAAGGTGCAGCGAAGAATTGCCCACACATCCAAAGTGGCACATAACACCCCTACTTGATGAGCGGTGTATGGCACAAAAATAGATGCTGGCTCACAGCCAAAATGAGTCAGGGCTGATTGAACACCCTTTAAGGCTATTTCTCCAACTTGAGTTGGGTAATGACTTAACACCTTTCCTGGAGATGTCTGAGAATGAATCCAAAGCAAAGGTCCCTGCTGCCATAGGACTGCGGTGGGTTGCTGTGGTGATGGGATAATGCATAAATGGAATGGACTGAAGGGGTCCAGCCGAGTTAAAGAGGCTTCCTTAAGCCTATCTTCCACCTTAGTTAATACTTCAGCAGCCTCCGCTGTAAGCTGCCTACTAGAGGTAATGGCTGAATCTCCTTCAAGGATGGCAAACAAAGGCCTAAGTTCTGCAGTAGTTAAATTCAAGTAAGGCCTTAGCCAATTAATATCGCCCAAAAGTTTTTGAAAATCATTAAGCGTGTTGAGCACATCTCTCCTAATGGTAATCTTTTGAGGTCTAATGCATCTAGGATAAATAGTTGAGCCAAGGAAATTACCGATCTCTCCCTCTTGTACCTTTTCAGGTGCTATGTACAAACCCTTTTGTTTTAGGTTAGCGGACAACATCTCAAATGCCTGTTGCAGTAATGCTTGCTCAGCATGGCATAGCAAGATGTCATCCATATAATGACATACCTTAATAGCAGGGAACCGATTTCTAACTGGCTGAATAGCGTTGGCCACATAGAGTTGGCACATGGTTGGACTATTGGCCATTCCCTGAGGTAAGACCTTCCACTGATACCTCTTATCAGGTTGTTCATGATTTACACTAGGCAAGGTAAATGCAAACCTAACTCTATCCTGATCGTGTAAGGGATAGAGAAGAAACAATCTTTAATATCTACCATTACCAAATTCCAGTTCGCAGGAAGGGTAGACAACAATGGTAGGCCTCTCTGAATTGGCCCCATAACCTGCATTTGTTTATTTATAGCTCTTAAATCATGCAACAATCTCCACTTTCCAGATTTTTTCTTAATGACAAAGATGGGAGTATTCCAAGGTGACTGTGAGCACTCAATATGGCCATGGCTGAGCTGCTCTTGAACTAGCTGCTCAGCTGCTGCAAGCTTTTCAGAGGTTAAAGGCCACTGAGGAACCCAAACTGGGTCCTCTGTAGTCCAGGGAATGGGAATCGCCTCCTCAGTGGCCCCTAGGAAAAACCCAGGCCTGTTCTATCTTTCTTTTCCGAGGTTGGGATAGGGCTAGTGCGTCCTTGCAGGCATTTACCCAGTCCTTTACCTGGAACACATCCCATGTTCTTCATTATTTGTTGACTTTGAGGAGAGTATTCATTAGTTAAGGTAAAATCCAATTGTTGTAACACATCCCTTCCCCATAAATTAATGGGAAGAGGTAGCACATAAGGAGCGAACATGCCCCTTTTTCCTTCCTCATTTTGCCAATGCAAAGTCTTCGCACTCTTTTGAGGAGCATTTTCATATCCCAACCCTTGTAGGGATTGAGATGATAGAATAAGAGGCCATCGCGACGGCCACCAAGTTTTAGAAATTATGCTGGTATCTGCTCCAGTGTCCAATAGACCTTGAAAAGTTTTCCCTTCTATTATCAAACTCATCATAGGGCGTTCTTGCATACCCAATGACAAGAACATATGCTGTCCTCCCGAGGAACCAAAGCCTTTTTCTCCTCGAGTAGTTTTATCACTTGGGAAGTTCTGATGTAAACTGGGTAAGATCAAAAGTTGGGCCACTCTGTCCCCAGGCGAGATGGCACTAATCCCTCTAGGGGAGGAACATAACATTTGAATTTGTCCTGTGAAATCTTGATCAATGACTCCTGGATGAACTTGCAATCCTTTTAAGGTGGCAGATGAGCGGCCAATTATCAGTCCCACTGAACCCTCTGGCAAGGGGCCTGCTAAATCTGAAGGTATAGGCTGACATCCCATTATAGGTGTCAATACTGCTCTGGTGGTGGCACGCAAGTCCAATCCTGCTGATCCGGAGGTTGCTCTCCGGATGGAGTCATCTTCACAAACCCTTTTGATTGGTAGGGTGTCTGCTGGATGGCCCCATACATTTGTCTTGGGCCCTGGGGTCGGGGGCCCCTGTTCCCGTTTTTTGGCTGCTCAGTAGAGCGCTCCGGAAGGGGCCTCCCCTGATTGTCCTTAACAGACCTGCATTCATTTGCCCAATGCTTTCCTTTTTTACACCTTGGGCACAACCCTGGCTGTTTGACAGGCTGAGCATTAGGGGTCGCAGTTGGCGCCCGACACTGCCTTTTCATATGACCCATCTTTCCACAATTAAAACACTTTGCATTTGCAGCCTTCTGGGCTGATAATACCGCAGCTGCGATGCCCTGATTAGACAGTGGACCTCCTATCTCTCTGCACGCTTTCATCCAAGCGTTTATTCCTTTTCCTTTCCAGGGAGTAATGGCATTCCTACACTCCTTGGTACATTGCTCAAAAATTAATTGCTCCACAAACGGTATTGCGCCCTCAGGGTCCTCAAATATTCTTCCTGCTGCTTCCATCAATGTCTTCAGTTGTTTCAAATCTAGAGGAGCATATTGCCTCTGATTTTGAGCATCTTCCCATACAGGAAATGCTGCTTGTATCTTTCTAACTTCCTTTTCAGGAATGCGTGACGGCCTTCCTCCTGATCCTGTGTGTTTTTCCACTTCCTCATAGGGAGGAGCTGTTGTACTGCACTTAAAAGCTACAGAGCCACGCCTAGGTGAATAAGGCGGGACGGGGCCATATCTCTCTTCCTCATATTTTGCAGCTTCCTCATCTAACTCTGCCTGCTCAGCAGGGTCAAGACCCGACTCCTCAGAGTCAGATGACTCCTGCTCATCCTCCCCTTCAGAAGAAGATGATAGAGTGCAATTTTTGAACTCAGTGAGGAGCGGATATAATTTAGGTTTTTCATCCTCATCTTTTTTTTTTTTTTTTCTTGCGGGGTTGGTAAGAGTTGCAATCTTTTTGCCTTATCTTCAAGCTCCTCTTCCTTCTTTGCAAGTTGTGCTGCCCTTTTTTCTAACTTAGCTAGCTTGGTTAACACATCCTTGTTCTCATGACTTTTCTTTTCTTTTTTCTTAGAAGGCTTCTTCCTTTTATTAGCCTCTTTTACCCTTTTCAGCTTCTGATACACTATCCTGATGGTCTGACAAGACCCGCTGGCCTTCCTTGATCTTTTCCTTGCACCTCTCATCCTTAATGCACGATTTGAACAATTTATACAGTGGCCATACCCCTGGTCTTAGGGTCCCCTGTTCCTTTTCTCGTGTCAGATCCCCACTTAGCTTGCTCCATGATCCTTCCGTAAGGGACCCGGAGAGAACGAACCAGGGAGCCACTCGATCTACTTCTTTGAGAAAGTTCTGCAACACCCGATCTGGGACCTTAAGCTCCTTCTGTTTCAACAGCGCCCGCGCTGCTTCTAGAAGCGGCTTATTCCATTGCTCCTTTATCTACAGGGGAGGGTGTGGCAACTCAGTTATCTACTTGAGGATTACAGCCAAATTATGCAGTGTCGCAAAAAGGACGAATACAAACCGTATCCCGTTTCCCACAATTAAGACACAGACAACAGAAAAGAACGAAAACGAGACTAACAACGAGAAACGGAATCACCCAGACCACAGAAATCATACCTTGCTGAAAAGTCTCCGGAGTTTCTCAGGTCACTGGCTTGGATCCTCTTTCCGACGAGCAGTCGGGGTCCTCAAAGCTGTCCCTCTACCCGGGTTCGGCGGCTTCCCGGGTTTCGGCACCACTTGTCGCGCGCAGCCTTCGCCGATAAGGATGACGCGGCAACCGAGGAGGGTCCAGCAACAACTTTATTGTTACAGCTCTTTTAGCAGATGGTGAAGGAAGGACCCAGACCCCGGGTTGTGCTCTGCTTAAATAGCCAGTCAAGGCGACGTGTTCGTCTGTGATTGGTGCTCCACACAAAACCTGATTAGCATATGATCCCTAATTGGAGGACCACATAAGCCTACATTAGCATAAGGTGGCACATGCGCAGATCGCAAAGCCTTTGGCGGGAACCGCTCCCGCCAAAGCAATGCTGGCAAGAAGAACCAGGAAGCAGGAGACCGGCGCCACCTTGTAGTGGCGGGAGCGGCTCCCGACA